CGCTCCTTTTGGGACGGTTTTTGAGAGGTTCGTTGTGGAAGTTTTATGAATGTGAGGTCCGGGACAATGCAAATGCATGAAACCTGGAGGATGACATTTTGGCTTTCCAACATGTCGCACATTGGGTCTATGGAATGTCAAGGGCTGTGACACCCCAAACGATGTCAAGGGCCGTTTCGGCAGGCCTTAGGTTTCGAAGGAGTCAATGGGTTTGGGGCCAGTCGCGGAAGCTGGGACCTCGAAATTCCGTTGGAAAGCAAACATGCAAGTGTTTTTTTGTTCTTTTTTTTTGAGGCTACCCATGGCTAGGGGTTGCTTTAAAGGGAAAACGCCAGTTCGACTCCGCTTCAGCTGGGCGGCTTTTCGACGGCGTCCGGACTCGAAAGCCAGGGGCTTTCAGAGTTGGAACCTACGAACTTGTTGGTTCGATAGGCAGAGAATGAAAATTGTTGAATGAGCCCTATAAACCATCCAGCCTATGGTTTCCTTCTAAGGGAATCCCTAGGTTCATTCCCAACACAATGAGGGCATGATCCCTATCATCCAGCCTATGGTTTCCTGTATTCGGGAATGTCTAGGTTCATTCCCAACACCCGAAAAGGTCATTCCCTACCCATCGCGCCGGCAAGACACAGTCGCGATTTCTGCCAAACGGGACTTCAAATTCACCGCTTGACAGGGTCTGCAGGAAGGTGTGTGTAGCCCTACCAAGGCCGACAGGCGCACAAAAGGGGGGGCACATATCCAACCATTTCCCGCGGTGTTTTTCTCTGTTTGAAGGGGATCGCTTGGCTGGAGGGAACAACATGGTTTTTTTTGGGGCTTACGGAAGGAGGTGCCAACATATCCAGGTGGTCAATGGGTTCGGGAGCTGGCATTGTGAATGCTAGCCATCGGGTTGACACCAAATGCCAACCTGCGGGTCATGGGTGGCTGGTCCGTTTTTCTTGGGAGACCCCTCTTGAGTGGTGGGTTTTCCATCGGTTTTCCTTTAAAACCATACCAAAGGGGTACCCAAGAGAAAAGGAACAACTGCCATATTTGATGATTGGGTTGTCCTTCTTCTCACCAGCATTTTTTTAAGGAATCAACTGCACGCACAAAGTGGTTCAGAGGCGTTTGCGCAGCTCGACCGAGGCGTCAGTTCTCCCTGCGCCAAACCTCGTCAGAGCAGATGCCTCAGACTTCACCCGGTGGGTCACCTCGCGGAGGGTTGGACATGGATGGCGCCGTGGTGCCATGTGGGTCGCTAAGGAGGTCAGCTTTTTCCGTCTCTTTGCTCTTTTTTTTTTGCGGGTTCTTAAGCCCCCCAAAACAGGAGTGTTCAGGATGGTGGATTCGAACACTTGGTTTGTGCAAAGCGCCCAGCGAAACCAGCAGGACCCGATCAATCCCTTTCGGTGCATCATGCGGCTAGACATGGCGGTGGCAATCAAAATGAAACGATCGGAGGGGGTTATTCCGCAGGCTTCGGTGCCCATGTTTCTCCGCTTACCAGGGCAACCCATTTTGGAATCCCGGTTTTCTTTTTTTCAGCCACAGCCATAAATATGGCGGTTACGGGAGATTCGGGGAAAGTTTCAAGCCTCATATTTCTGAGGGCCCATCTTTTTGGGTCCATGTGGATGTCGCCGATCGGTTTGGTCGTTGCACTTCCAAGTCTGTGACCCATTTGGGGACGAGAAGGGGAGCGACTTGCCAAAATGTCCGACAAAACCCGGGGGAGAGAGGCCGTTTTTCTGGGCCTCCCTCCCTCTATTTTTTTTAAGACTCATCAGGGGCACTTAAGAGAGAAGAAACACCCCTGAGCAAAAGGCGAGACACGTTCTTCCAAGTGGAGTTCTCAGTGAGGCTACAAAAACGGCTGATTGGACACACCTGGGGGCTCGCCAAATTGTGTGTCATCCACTTCACCCGGAGAAGCAAAAAGGAGGGCTTCACAGTCTTCCCTGCCAAGGGTCTGTTCAGTTTTAGGGGGCTGCAGAAAAGAAACGTGTTTTGCTATCATGCCAAGGGTCGGAAAGTATCGGCTGGGCAATGTTTTACTGCTGCGAATGGCCCGAATGTCTGCTTCAAGGGATCCTTCAGGTTTGTTTTGCCTCTTTGAAAGAAACATGGCTTGTTGTTTTTTCTTCAAGCCCATAAGGGGTAGCCTCGACAAAACCAGGACAGCCCACTGCTTATTCAAACATCACCACCCGACTTTTTCTCACTGAGCTGGCCAATGGGAAATCTAGTACGGGAGATCGGAACAGGGGGCCAACCGGCAGTTTCAACATGTTTCTACCACTTTTGTTTAAGATACCTCCTTTCGACTTCCCTTTTAAAGAGTACCAGCTGGCTGTTTAATGCTTCACTCTGGCGAGTGGGCGAAGATAGGATGTCCAGCTTGCACTTGCTGAAGCAAGCTGGCAAGTCCGGGACCAGCCCTCCAAATCGCTCTCATACGAAGCCGGTGCTTCGTGCACTAAGCGCAACGAGAAGCGCCCGAAGTGCCAACATCCGAGCCGAAACCCCGTTTTTTTTTTTTTTTTTCAATCGAAATAGGCCATGTGGGATTCCCTTGTGCGCGCACAAAAACTGGCAACCTAAACCATAGGAATCTTAAGTTCTGAATTGGGTCTGGTCCCCCCCACAATCGGGTGTCTACTGGAGAAAGCACACAACGGACCAGGGAAAATCGAACATAGCTGGAGACAACCCCCGCACAAATGATGTCCCACCAAAGGGTCCCAGTTGGGACATGTAAAGCTCGTCCCCTTCTCGGTGGATTCCATCCTCAACAATCCCCTTTTGTTTGAGTGTAATGTTAGCCCCGGATTAAAAAACCCCTGGTTGATTAGTAGGGGGGTGTCCCCTTTTAGTGGGGATTCATCACTTTTGGAGGGAACAACGGGTCAACATTACCCCACACAAAACGTTCCCGGCTTTAGCAAGGGTTTCAATTCCTTTTCTCCCAGTGGCGCCTTTGCCGCTCACGAAAAAAGGTCAACCCCAGGACGTGCCACAGAGGGGTCCGCTCGCCACACACATGCACTGGGCATCTTTGGACTTGATGTTTTTGAGACTTGGATTTTCCGAATTGGACCCACGGAAAAAGTGGTAAACTTTTCGCAGAGTGGTCACCAACTAAGGCACTAAGACTGGGAAGGATCACGGTTCTGGTTTCCAGCCGTGAGGAATCCCATGTCGCTGCTAGCAGAGAGCCGTGTGCTGGAGGCGCCAACGCCTTTCTTCGCTGTCGCGTAGAGATGTTCAAACCCTGGCACTTGACCCAGGTGAATCAGACAAGGGTTCGCGAGCAAGGTTGAGACAAGGCTTGGGAGGTGTTGTGGTTGCCTGCTGATGTTTCTTCTGGTGGTCCAAGTTGTTTTTTTTTAATCGAGTGCGGGCGTGGATTGGGCTCGTTTGTTTTTTCGACCCGAACTGATCGATCGTTTGCTGGCCCAGAAGCCGCAAGGTAAAACGGAGGCCACTAAAGCAGGTTGGGTTGGAAAAACAAGGGGGATCGCAGTCCTGATGCGTTTCGGAAGCCCCTAGTTTACGACTCAAGCGTGGGGAAAAACATTCGGAAACCCTGAGAGAACCAAACAAAAACAATAGTCTGAGAGTTCCGGTCCGTGAGCAACCATCCAATGCTGGGGCCCGCCACTGGGAACACTTGCTTTTTGTTTTTCTCCGGGATATTGAGGCATGTCTTTTTCCTCCGGGCGTTTGGCGGGATTTTTCAGAAATCTAAGAATCCACTGGCGTTTTCTGCAGCCCAAACACCCGGTTTTGGTGCGTATGTAGCGAATGTGTAGAATTTATCGGGAGGGATTTCATCTTGGGGCTAGGCTGCCCATGTACATGCCAAGTCTGCAACGCTTTTCGGGGTCGTTGGTGTTTGGGACAAATGGACAGGGCACTGGCAAAGGATGTGCAACCTATTGCCATAAAACCAAACTGATGATACGTAGGACATCTCCCTTCGGGGGCGCTTTGACCTCGACTCGAGGGTCAGCTGATGTTGAGAGGCAAGGGTTCTTGTGAGAGATTGCACCTAATCTCTCCCATTCCAGCCACTCCTTTGGGTACCCTTGGGGTTGGTTTGAAGGGAAACCCAAGGGGACACCAACGATTTTGGAGGGTTCCAACCATTTTCATCGTGGTCATTTTTCATGGTCGGTTTTGGTCGGTCAAAGTGTTTACTGTTTACTCGCTCCGCCAGCTTGGCTCCAGCGGGGTTTCAGGTTTCGGGGCCGTCCCAGGCGGCATCGATCATCTTTTCCTATTTCACGCTCTGAGTTTTCAAGGGAATCACTGTTTGTCTGGTGTTTTTTTTCAGGGGACTGAAGCACATGGAGGAAGCCGATTTTGTAGTTCAAGTAGACTAACATTTGACGCACCTGATATAATTTCCTGTACCCCAGTGGGCTAATTTTACGGCTGTCCTAACACAATGTCTTTAAGATCTGTTTGTAACAACATTCATGAATAGGGCATTGAACAGGACACCCTTTCTGGATGGTGTGAAAACACTAGAGAAATCCCAATCACCTGGAGGGCTCATCAAGCCAGCTGGCATCGGTTGCAGAGGTGACTCACTTCGGCCCTGGGTCCGAGCTTGCTCCAGATCTGAATATGAGCAATCCCTGAGATCAGCACACAGCCTTCAACTTTCAACCCGTTGGGATCATTCTTCCTTGGTTTACACCCCCATATGTTTCCTACCCTCAACCTTCCCCCTTTCCAGGACTTTTCCTCGGTTTCCTCCCACTCATGTTTATGCAGCCCAAAGGGTTTGAAACCGAGGAGCGGGTCCGACTTTTTTTCTCAAAAGTCGCAGAAGGGGGGGGGCAGATTTCTAAGTTGTTTTTTCCCCCAAGTGAACATGAGGATTCCCAATTTGGCCGTGGCTCGTGTTTTTTTCTCCCCAAGTCCCAACATCGGCCCAGGTCCACCGAGGAATCCCATCTCGAATCTCATCCGCCCGATCCGCCCAGCGCTCGAAGCGCGCGATGGTGGCCATCCCAGAACTGCCGCAAGACGCGCGCTTCGTGCGGGCGCTGCTGCAGAGCGAGGAGCTGCTGAAGCAGCAGGCCACCTCGGCGGAATCTCTTTTTTGCCGTTGACATGGCCGTTTGTTTCTTCTTCTTTTCTTTCTTTCTTTTTGTTGGTTTCTTTCTTTTTCATTTTCTTGTTTTTCTTCCTTTTTTTTTCTTTCTCTTTTATTCTTTATTTTCCCTTTCATTATTGTTCCTTTCTTTCGTTTTGCTTTCTTTTTTCTTTCTGTATTTTTCTTCCTTCTTTCTTATTTATGTTTTTGGTTTCTTTCTTTCGTTTTCCTTTCTTTTTGTTCCCTTCATTTTTTCATTTTATTTCTTTTGTATTTCTTTCTTTTTGTTCCTTTCTTTTTTTCTTCTTTATTTGTTCTTTCTTTTTGTTTTTCTTTCTTTCTTTTTCCTTTCTTTCTTTTTTCTTTCTTTTGTTTTTCTTTCTTTCTTTTTCATTTCTTTCATTGTTCTTTTTTTTGGTTTCTGTCTTCTTATTTTATTTTATTTCTTTTTTGTTCTTTCTTTCTTTTCATTTCTTTCTTTTTTGTTTTCTTATTTTGTTTCTTCTGTTTTTTGTCTTTTTTTCCGGTTCTTTGGGTTGAAGACCTGGAGTTACAGGGGGTTGTTTTAAAACCAGAGACCCCCTTTTTTTTTGAGCATGCACAAGAGCACATGCGACACTCCCGTATTTCGAAAAGCCAGGGCTTTAGAGATCCTGGGTCAACAAACCTGGATGTTCAACCCAGGTGAGTGGTTGTAACCGCGCTGCAACTGGGACAACAGGGGTTCCGGGTTGGTCATCTTAGAGCCATGTTTCTCACCTCATCTGTGTGAACTTTGGATGTACAATCAGAGGACGCCCCCTGAAGCGAATGATTGAATAGCTCCCCCATGAAGGGTGGACCACCCCTCTTCAAAAATGCGACGCGGAGATTTTGCGCGCAGCGCGGGCGAGTGCGGGCTAGAAATGCTCGAAATGGAAATGGGGTTTGGTTTCACGTCGAAAAAACAAAAGTGCGCAGCACAAATTTGAAGAAACAATTTAAACGTATTTAATCCGAAGTTGACACTATGCGCCCAGTGTCCGAGGGGCAAAATGCAGTTGGAACGCTGGTGCACATGAAAATGAGGAGATGTACCTCCCACAATGATGGGCTTCCTTTGACCAGGACTGTGGCAATGAAAGAAAGCCCAGGCGGCCAGGGTTTTCCCTATAAATTGTTTTTTTTTTGGGCGGGGAGCTGCCAAAACTACTTTGTGGCTCCGAACAGTTCAAACATTTTGCTTAGACGGGGTACCACGGTTTGAACGGGAGCCCAGTTTGCCCAGTCTGCCCACTGGGTCATGTGCTTTGCTCAAGTCTCTGCGAGCAATCTAGGTATGGGGTTGTCTTTTGTTTTGAGGGTACCCCAAAGGACGCACCGCATGGCAAATGCAGGGATTCAGCTCAGCCGTCGAACTGAGGCGAGCTCGGTGTTCGCGAGATGCGACCTCAACCAGCACCTCGCTTGCTCAAAGCAAATCGATCTTTGCTGTTGTTCTTTGATTTTCCCAGTTTTGGTTTGACCTCCCACCAATGAGCATGGAACCTAACAGGTCCTGGCTTGGTCCGGATTTTCCTTTTAAGGGGCCCCGTGTCAGATTCCATGTTACTTGGGAGGGTAGTTGTCCAGTTTTAGTTTCCGGCCTGGGCCCAAACTTTTGCCAAGCCCGCGGTTTGTTTCTCCGAGGAACGGCCAGATCGAGCGGGATGAGCTGAAGGTGCTCTGCGAAGCCATGCACCAGAGGACTACGATTGGGATTCGGGGCGGAGCTGCCTTTCCCTTCCGTTCCCGAGCTCCCCATCCGGTTCCTTAACCTCTTTCGCTGGTTGTAGTTGGTTTAGTTATTGGGCGTCCGAAGTTCTCCCACTAAAAGTTCGTTCGTTCGTTGGGTTTCCAGCGCCTCAAGGCGCCTAACCAACACCGACGGGCAACAGAGCCTTTTCTTGGGCTCGTCCGTATTATGTCTCGCGCTTGCCAGCTGTCTCAGTGCCCCCCACAAAAAAGTTGCAAACCTTTGGCTCAGGGGATCTGAGCCCAGGAAGTAAGGAAGGGCACCCCTCCAATTGGCGCTTGGCGCTTAGTGGTTTCGGGGGTTGAACCCCCTTGATCTTGTAGATGGGACATCGCTCTGGAACACGGTTGGTTGTGGGAAACGGGTTTCTAGATTGCCAGTGTGTGCGATACCAAGGGAGTCCCTTAAAAGTGATAAAGTAGTCATGGCGTACGACTTTGTTTGGATCACGGCTGCTTGTTCAAAGGGCTTCAAGTGGCTGTGGGTCAACAATGGGTTCCCAAAATGGAACCCTGGTAAATGGCAGGATTAAAACCTGGGGTCCATCTCCTGGTTGAATTTTGACCCACACCCAAGTTGCGCCTTTAGAGACGCCCTTTGGCCGTTTTGGGAGCTCTCGGCGAGGATCGGGCTGAAGCGGCTGGACCAGATCGAGCTGGGCATTCGCCTGGGCAAGTTCGACGACGACTTCTCCGGGGGCCTTGAGCCGAGACCGCAGAGGGTCGAGCGAGAGTGGTTCCCGGCCATCCGGTTCCTTCTCGTGTTTTTTTCTTCTTCTTCTTTTTTTCCGCATCTTTTTTTTGTTCTCTCCGCTTTCTTATTCTTTTTTTTTCAGCTTTTCAGTTGGTTTAGTGGTAGTTTCCGAATTTAACCCACAAGTTAAACTTGGGGCGAGAGGAAGTTGGAGTCAGATTTCCGGAGAACGCTTGGACCCAAACAAATCTTTGGTGCACTTTGCCAAGGGATGTTAGGACTCTAACTTTTTGCCAACGAATGGGTTTTCCGTATTAAACCACTAAAAGTTAAAAACTTTTAGCAGGGGAGCAGAAAGCAACCTTGGTGGTTCCCAGCCATCTGGTTCCTTATCGGTTTTTTCAGCTCTTCAGCTGGTTTAGTGGTAGTTTCCGAATTTAGCCCACTGAAAGTTGAACTTGTAGCAGGGAGAGGACAGCCCAGTTTTGAGGGTACCCGGCTTTAAAAGGAAGCCAAAGGGAAACCAAAGACTTCATCTTTTTTTTTTTTGCTGGGGGGTCCCCTAGGAAAACAAACATACCCATCAGTGACTCGTTTGCCGTCGGTTCGCTTCTCTTTGGTTGCTGGTTAGAACAAAATGGCTGCAAAGCGCCGAAGGGTGGCTCCAAAATGAAGCCACTTTACTTTTGCGTGTCTTTTTTCACGCTGGGGTGTTCTTCTGGTTTCGGCTTTCCGTCGCTGTGACCCGTCCGAACAAGGTCCAACTAACTAGCTTCAGCTGGCAATAGTACAAGGGTATCATTGTCATTTTTGGCTGGGTCCCTATTGATTTCTTTGGTGGCAATATTGTCGGATTGGCGCTTCTCAAGTTGCAAGGTGCCCCTTTCAAAAGGAGCAAAAGCTTGAAACGGGAAGTCGGACCTGATTCTCCCCTATTAATCGCAACTGACCCTAGTGGGGTTGGGGCTTGAGCTTCACGTTGGGTTATTTTTGACGGGTGCCGAAAGGGTCCAGTTGCATCATAGCCGGCCGCTTTCTAGCCAATGCTTACGCGAGTTGCTTTGGCCCCATAAAACGGACGGCTTCACTTTTCCAGTGGTGGCTACGGGGTCAACCCGCATCCTGGAAATCAGTTTGGCCTGCGCTGTTGAACACACCCCTCGCTTTTTTAAGTGTCGGCAGCCGCAAGCCTGCGGCCTGCGTCGCGCATGTAAGGACAGTGCGGAGTTTGTGAACCTTTACAAAAGCCTGCTGCAGGACTGGCGTGCGAAAAAGGTTTTGATCACAATTGCGCATGCTTCAAGGTCAGGAAAAGGAGCACTCTCCCATTGAGCCTCACGAAAATTAGCATACCGCAACATTTTCAGGCCGGCGTTGGCTTTGGCAGTCCTCTATTTTCCATTACACGCCTGCGCTTGGTTTGTGGCAAATTCGGTTTGTTTTTTGAGGAAGGGATCCTGTTTTATTCGGGACTTTGGCGAGGTCTTACACAATCTTGCACAAAGCTGTACAGGCCATCTTGGCAGAATCACATGTGCGTCCATCGTTTGGGGGCGCTTTCACAGAATGGGCTTGTGGTTTTTGATGGTTGCCCTTTTTGTAGCTGGATTAAAGGGAATCAAAAGGACACGCACACGCAAGATAAATTTGGGTCCCCGCCATTGTGTGACTACCCTTTTGGGGGCGTGCATATTTTTGAGGGTCCCCTTTGGGATGGCTTGAAAGGGACACCAAAAATAAACCACCATTCTCTACCATTTTTTGGTTACCCTCTGTTGTGACGAAAGCCGTTGGGAAAAAGCTGCGAAGACGCTCAACGGAGGAGGTGATCTCAGAAACCCACCCCAAGCAAAAACCAACCGCCACAGGTGTCCTTTTTGGTTGTTTTGGTCGAAAAATAAATGGGTTGCCCTGGTTTACCTGGTGGTTTAATCATCTACCAGGGAAACCCATCTATTTCCCCGACAAGGACGCCTATGCCAACCGCGCCCGTTTTTGGGGGCGGATTTTTCTCCGAAAATCGGAGACCCGCTCATCAGCCGCCGGCAGGATGCCCTCGGGGAAGATGTGTGCGAGCCCCTCCGCTCGAACCGCATAGGGGATGGAAATCCCACGTGTGATCATGGGGTGCCAGTGGGCCACTCCTCCCATCAAAACTCGGTCCCCCAGTAGTACCCGTTTTTTTGGGGAGGGTTCCCCTACTAAAATAGACTATAGAACAAAAATGGTACCCTTATTCTAACCTCTCTACTGGAGGACCTCGAAAATGGAGTTGTTGTATCTCAACGTTGGGGGGATGTCGAATCGATGTCTCAGCTCGTTGGCACTCAGCCATGCGGTTCCTTAGCCTTTTTACTTTTCAGTTCGCTTAGTGGTTGGTTTTCCATTTGACCCGCTAAAAAGTTAAAAAAGTTTAGCAGGGGATGTGAGGACGGCCCAGTCAGAACGGGTTATCAGCTTCAATCAGTGAGAATATATGGCCCTTTCTTCCTTCTTTAAAGCCAGTGATGGTAAAGGGACAAACCGAATATTCTGTTTGACAATTGTGTCGAACGCTTATTTAGTATTCGCAGGTCAGATAGAATACTTAACCACTTAGAAGAATTGTTCGGAAGATAAGGAGATAGCGTATTAAGGAGATATAAGGAGATAACATATACGGGGCCTGAATGACGGAAAGCAACCTCTAGGTCGATAGAGGTTGGGGTTAGAATAGTAGGGTGGGTGGGTGGAAGGTTTCGGAGCGTTTCTATTGCGCAACAATCCCGCTGGACTGCACCCATTGTCGTGCTATGTTTTTTTGTTTGAGGTTTGATTGGAATTAGCAGTTTCTATTTCAAGCGCCTGTTACAGATGATGCAGGGGATGCAGGGTCCATTTTCTGGGCGATGCTGGTATTGCTGGAGATGCTGGCTGGTGATGCCAGGGATGCTGGCTGGTAATGCCAGCGTGCCGGTTCTGTTGGCATTGCTTAGTGTTTGAGAGCTCGGACTGTGGCAGTGCACGTTGTGCTAAGTTATGATCTGTTGTTTTCACTTTGCTTTCTTATGTGCTGACATGTTAGCTGATTTGTAAAGCACATTTCATTGGACAGGAACTCCTGTAGGATTTTCATTTAGTTAGATATTGAGTAGACGTTGATAACGATACTAAGTATAACTTCATAAGGAAAGACGTCAGAGGTCCACCAATCATGTTTTTACCTAACCACCATCACTACCATGGTCGGAAACCATCGTACAACAGTGTTGTGCAGCGTTTCTCACGCTAAATTCACATCTTTCCCAACGGCTGCTCTGTAAAGTCAATTACAATTTGAATACTTTTGTAAATAGGACTCAATAATCAGGAAATACCTGTTCCGAATCCTATTGGGAACCCTGCCTTACATACATTTAGAATTGAGATAGGCATTATTGCTAAATAGAACTTTGCATTTCAATTAGGATTTAGATATAATTCAATAAGGAATTAGGACATAATCCATTCAGAATTTAAATTCTAAATTAGCATTTAAATGCCCATTATTCTATTTCAAGTTAGAATTTGCAGATTCTGCAGGTTGGCCACCTAGTTTGGCCCTAAATTAGACGCTACGACATGCCATGGCCGTTTTGGAAGTGGGAACGGCTTTGCTTTCTAAGTGTGACTGGGCTCACTGGGGGGCGGGGCGGGGGGGGGGAGTGTCCGAACGTCCGGGCGGCTCCCCGATCCAACTCGCTTTGGCAACCCATGCGGGCGTTAATTTCCTGCAGGAGATCACGTCTAGCCTCCAACAGTCTAACCAGCTTTTGTTGAAAAAACATTTTGGGTCTGCCTCCATGTTGGACGCACCTGGACAGCACTTGGTCCAACGCGACCTGGACTCAGCTGGCCAGATCCACCAGATCCAAATCTGTGCCCTTTAAAGGGGAGGGGAGGGGAACAAAGTGATGCCAACACTTTTTTGCGACTTCCTTTTAAAGGGGAGGGGCACCCCTGCCACAAGGTTTAGCGGCACGGCGGCAAGGACATGGTCCCCCCCAAAGATGGTCAGGACTTTGGGGTGGATTTTTATATGGACACCAAAAGGACACTGAAGCCATGGGGTTCGTCTTTGTTTATTTTATCAATGGAAAGGCAAGCTCCTATTTGTGAGACAACCCTCTCCCCCCCCCCCCCCCGCCGCCCCCCCAACCATTCAAGTCCCAACCCTCAACACCCTCCCGTTGTCCATGGACCCCCCCCACAACCCCACAACCCCACAAACCCACAACCCCACAACCCCACAACCCCACAACCCCACAACCCCACAACCCCACAACCCCACAACCCCCGACAACCCCCGCAACCCCCGCAACCCCCTCCCTCTCAACCCTCAGCCGCCCAAGCGCCTCGCTCCTCGCCGAGGCCGAACCCCCCGGCACGCAGCCGCAGCCGCGGCAGATCGCGGGTCTCCAAGCAGCCAAGCCTGGAGTTGGCCAACCTGCCGTCGGATCCCAGGCGAGTGGTTCGGCTTCGGCTTCTCTCTTCAAAGGCTTCGGCTTCTTTCGTATTTTTTTTTTGGGGGGGGGGTTACACGGGTACCCCCCCCATTTTTTGGTGGTTTTAAAGGAGCTTCTATTCTTTTATCTTTTTTGTTTTGAACCTTACTCGAATCTTGCATACGGCCGCATTTGCGCCTTTCTTTGCACTTGGTTGGGTTTATTTGAACCTCACTCGGACCTTCAGGCCAAGGTCTAAATTGGGGTTAGCTGGCATCTGCACCTTTTTCCAGGGCTCCCTATATTTGCGCTGCTTGTTTTGGACATAGCAGCATAGCAGGGAGTTTTCCCTACAGGTTGATGTTTGAGGGGAAACACAGGGAACCCTGCTATCCGACCTTGTTTGGCTTTCGTGGGGAATTCGAGCCACGACTAGCTGATCACTTGAAGGCTTGGTGGAAAGATGCGCACAAATTTTCCACTGGCTTTAAACCACCAAACCCTCACGACTGACAAATGACATCCTCCCCGGAGGTTTCGTTACCATGGCCCAAGACCACCTATTTTCGTTAGGTTTCCATGTGATCCACTGGATATGGGCCGTCCGCCCCACAACACTGGGTCTTCCTGGAGAATCTACAACAAGGGTTGTGGGAGCCCCTGATACATGTGATTCAACGTGGATATGTTGTGTGGATACATAAATATTTAAACAACAAAACCATATTACATTTTTACATATAGTATATATTCAAGGATTATGAGCACGACGTTTCTTTCGATCGTTGATGTCTTGTCCGAGAGACCTGTGGCAAAGGCGCCCGTTTCCCTAATGTGAACTTTTAGTGGATATTGATCAAAAGGCCAAGCTGGTTGCAGATCAGTTTGGCATATCATCCTTACAGGAATCACCATTCTTAAAAGGAGTTTCATCATCTAGCTCGGGTCTCTCTTTCTATATTTCAATGGGGCTGAACCCCGGAGTTTGTTAAAAGACGCTTTGTTTCCTAGGTTGGGCTTCTCTGTGTTTTTAATGGCTGAACCCTACGGGAGTTGGACACGCTAGTGGAATAGGACTCTGCCTTGCTTCGATTTGCTCCGCGAGTCCAACTCGCCGTTTTTTTTTCTTCTTTCTTCACCTCAGGTACATCCGGGCCATCTTGTCCAGTGAGCAGCTGCTGCGGCAACAGGTGCGAGCGAGTCGCTTTTTTTTAAATAAAAACATATAAATAAACGGGATTTAAGATTCCAGAACCAGCCATGTGGGCGTGTCTCTTTCCTTTTTTTGGTTTGGGTGGGGGAAAAGACCCTTCAAGATGATGGGTTTCCTTTTGGGTTCCCTTTAAAACCGGCAAACATGGAGTATCCTCAGCAAAAGAGAGGCACAAATGACTATGAATTTTAGTGGGGAACCGCTTCAAAGTGATTGGTGGGCCTTGACTCCCCATGTGAATGATCTCCACCAAAGAGTCCGGGACCCATGAGTCAAAGGGCAACCCTTGTCAGTGGTGGGTCCTCAAACAAAGACAGAATGGTTCCTTGCACCTGTAGACTTGAGAGAAAAGAGGTGGCTATGGCATATTATACCCACTAGTTGATATCGCTTTTTGCAAGGGATTGCAATGAAGCAGTAAGTTCAGTCCATGAAAGGGACATCGCTTGAGGAGGTTGGAGCAGAGACTTCTATCCACACCCATGGGCCCATGGTTCAAAGTCGTTGGACTATATATGAGACAGGGCCCTGGAAAAAAGGTTGCATCCCTCAGTTGGTCCAACTCATTTGGACATCTCGATGGGGAAAACAGAAGAGCCTGTGTTGATCAAATCAAATGGTTCCATCTTTTCTAAAAATCCCAAGATGGGGAGACCGGGAGACCGAGGGAGCCGTGTAGGTGTGACAAGCCCAAAGGAAGCCAACGAAGCATCGGCCACCCCAGTTCTCGGCTGCGAACTCTGCCAAGCCCTGCTCATTTTTTTTTTTTTTTTAAACTTTTGGCGGTTTAATACGGGGAAAAAAAAAACATCAGATGGCGAGAAGTTGAAGTCCGAACATCCCTTGGCAAGATGCAGCGAAGATTTGATCAACGCAAGTTCTTCTGTTTTCCCCAGCCCATGGAGATGTCCAAATGAGTTGGACCAGCTGAGGGTTCCAGGGCCCTTTCTCACAGTCCAACAAGTTTGAACCGTGGGCCCGTTTCGCGGAGACGCGCCAGACTTGGTTCCACCCAGCCGATCGAGCTGGAGCCATGTCCAATAGTGGACACCATGCGCAGGGACACCATGCCAGGGGCGTTTCTCGGGGGTCTTCCCCCAAAGGTTCTAAGATGACTTGCAGCCCCAAGCCACTTGGAACAAAAAAAGACAACTCGCGCTGTCCCAATTGTCCAACTTGGCTATTGGCTTGCTTCATAGGCCTGAAAGGGGTGGGGAACAAGTTGATGGGGTTCACGGGTTTCAGTTTCCTTGTCACTTGGTGCCCTCAAGCAGACCCGAAGCCCAATTTCCTTCAGCTTTCCATATGTGGGAGAAGTCTGGCATGGGTTTGTGCTGGTGAGCCAATGTCCTGGCCATGAATTTTAGACGTTGGCAGTTCATTGCCACCTTGGCGCTTGATTGCCAGGATTGAAGTATAGCGGTTTTTGCCATGGTTGAAATTACAGTGTTTTTCGTCTGGACCTAGAAGAAAAATAACCGACGATGTTGGTTCATTGTTATGGTTTCAGACTATGTGTGCTCGCATTGAAAGCTGGCAGCTTCTAGTCGTGCTTAAAATGAGAGTGGCATATTGCCATGGTTTGAAGGATAACATGGTTTAGACGATCTTACTTGTTTGATGCAGATCACATGATCAATGACATCAATGACAGCAGTCTCTTGTCATTGTTTGAACGATCGCGGCTTATTTCCAGGGCTTAAACGATAGTGGTTGCTCGCAAGGGTTCAACCGATTTCTTGTCAGCATTCTCCCATGTTTCAAGTACGAGTGGTAGCATATGCCACGGTTAAAACGACCGTGGTTCATTGCTATGGTTTCAATGATCGTGCTATTCTGACATAGATTTAACGGTGGCGGTTTACTGTATTGCCAGCAATCAAACGATAGTGGTTCATTGCCATGATTTGATGCCATGGCTTGAACGACAGTGCTTGATTTCTGGCTGTACTTCCGTATTCTCTTTCCAGCGGATCCCTCTTGTCAGACGATGTGAATTTGGAAGGGTTTTCAAAAAAACGCTGGGTGAACAGAACAGGGGATCAATATTTGGATTATTGCCATATCTCATGGGGAGGGGGAGGGAGCCCAACTAAGCCCTTATTGAGCCCATTGGGCTCCCTCCCCCTCCCCTCCCTCCCGTCCGGCCCCCTATGAATTTCCCCATACGTGACCCGGGATTGGAGAGAGGTGCTGGAAGTCCGTTCGCAAAGCTTTTATGCGACCTCTTTCTTGGTGGTTCCCAGCCATCACCCTTCGGTTTTTGGTTGGTTTAGTGGTTGGGTTTCCATTTGCCCAAGTGAAATAATACTTTTTCGCAAGGGGATCTGAAAACGAAGAGATGTCAGTTTCCGCTTTATGCAGGGGATCTGAAAATAGGTCAGTTTTCTCAAGGCCTATTTCTTCGGGTGGTTTCCCCCCCCCCCCGTACGAGGGAACTTTATGTATAATGTGAACGGGCCATTCGCCTTTTGATAACCAAGTCTTAGTTAAGAGAATTTTTAGAATTCTAGATGGTCCCAGCCCAGGAGGGGCCAGCCAGGACCTTTTGATTTTTATATTTTTTAGAATTTTTAGAACTTTTAGATTTTTTGAATTGAGTTCTAAAAATTCTAAAATTCGGACCCCCAAAATTTAGAATTTTTAGAATTTTTAGAACTCAATTCTAAAAAATCTAAAAATTCTAAAAATCGGACCCCCGAAATTTAGAATTTTTGGAATTTTTAGAATTCTAGAGGTCCCAGCCCAGGAGGGGCCCAGCCAGGACCCTTGATTTTTAGAATTTTTAGAATTTTTAGAACTTTTAGAATTTTTAGAATTGAGTTCAAACAATTCTAAAAATTCTAAAAATCGGACCCCCGAAATTTAGAACTTTTAGAATTTTTAGAATTCTAGATGGTCCCAGCCCAGGAGGGGCCCAGCCAGGACCTTTGATTTTTAGAATTTTTAGAACTGTTAGATTTTTTAGAATTGAGTTCTAAAAAACCTAAAAATTCTAAATTTCGGGGGTCCGATTTTTAGAATTTTTAGAATTGAGTTCTAAAAATTCTAAAAAATCTAAATTTTGGGGGTCCGAATTTTAGAATTTTTAGAATTTTTAGAACTCAATTCTAAAAAATCTAACAGTTCTAAAACTTCTAAAAATTCTGAAAATAAAAGGTCCTGGCTGGGCCCCTCCTGGGCTGGGACCATCTAGAATTCTAAAAAGTCTAAAAATTCTAAATTTCGGGGGTCCGATTTTTAGAATTTTTAGATTTTTTAGAATTGAGTTCTAAAAATTCTAAAAGTTCTAAATTTCGGGGGTCCGATTTTTAGAATTTTTAGATTTTTGAACTCAATTCTAAAAATTCTAAAAGTTCTAAAAATTCTAAAAATTCTAAAAATCAAGGGTCCTGGCTGGGCCCCTCCTGGGCTGGGACCTCTAGAATTCTAAAAATTCTAAAAATTCTAAATTTCGGGGGTCCGATTTTTAGAATTTTTAGATTTTTTAGAATTGAGTTCTAAAAATTCTAAAAATTCTAAATTTTGGGGGTCCGATTTTTAGAATTTTTAGATTTTTTTGGAACTCAATTCTAAAAATTCTAAAAGTTCTAAAAAATCGAAAAAATCTAAAAATATATATATATAAAAATCAAAGGTCCTGGCTGGCCCCTCCTGGGCTGGGACCATCTAGAATTCTAAAAATTCTAAAAATTCTAAATTTCGGGGGTCCGATTTTTAGAATTTTTAGATTTTTTAGAACTCAATTCTAAAAATTCTAAAAGTTCTAAAAAATCGAAAAAATCTAAAAAATATAAAAATCAAAGGTCCTGGCTGGCCCCTCCTGGGCTGGGACCATCTAGAATTCTAAAAATTCTAACATCGAGTATTTTTTGAGAGTTCAATTCTATAGTTTCAACATCAAAAAACATTGAGCATCCTGCACGCCCCTGGGCTAGGACGTGAAAGGCATGTCGCCCCCTTTGTTCGCGAGTAAGCAGAGAGGTTGGAAAGAGTGAGGAAGGGATGGGAAGGTGGAGGACATGCCTCTCACTAGCGTAAAAGGGGTAGGAAGAGAAATGAAAGATGCTTCTCTTTTTAGCTGTTGGATGGGGTGAAGGCAATTCACCCTTTCATGCTACTCCTTTCTCTTTTCCACGCCTTTACCCACAACCGCAAGTAGCTGTGTGTTGGATAAAGGCTTGGGAGACGAAGGATAGAGAGTGAGGGATAGAGATGAATGCTGGGCCAGCCCTCACAAGGCTTCTCTCTTCGTTCGTCCATCATTATCTCTTCATCCACATCCTTTATCTCTCCTTAAAGACCGGGAGAGAAGATAGGAAAAGGACAGGCAATGGAGCTTCAGCTCGTCTCATGCCTTCGCCAGCTCTAGAGCCAACATAAGAGAGGGAGAAGGGGTGACATCTCTTTCTCTCACGTAGAGTCCTTGCCATTATTTCAGAATGAAGAAATGGCGTGGCAAGGCGCGTGAGAGGGAGATGACCAGCTCCTCCATCATTATCCTATCTGTTAGAGCTGTGGGGCCAACGGAGAGAGCAAGAGAAAGAGGGTCAACAGGTAAAGATGATTGGGGAAGAGATAGAGAGTGAACGGAAAAGCTGGGACAATAAGGACATTCCAGCTCGTCTAGCAATCTACTTCCCTTCTCTTGACCTCCCTCGTTTCTGGGCAAGAGGTTGGGAAAGAGAAGCTGAATAGAGGTGAAGAAAGAGGAATTCATTTGTAACTGCTGGAAAGAACTGGCCAGCGGATGGGATTTCCTCTGGCCACCTCTCACCTAATCACTTTACCTCTCTCGTCATCAATTTCCTTTCTCCTTTCCATTCTCACCGTTGCAACGGCTAGGAAAGAAGAAGGGGTGAAGAGATAGGAGAGAGAACTAGAATGAAGAACCCAGATGACATGAAAGACGTTCTGGATTCTGTGACATGGTTAAGGGGAAGGAGATGTTGGTGATAGAGAAGGAGAAGGAGTTGCATTCCTTTCTCTTGCATACAATCCCCGCCACTCCAGAATTAAGAGATGGCAAGGGAAGGCGTGTGAGAGGGAGATGACCAGCTCCTCCATCATTATCCTACCTGTTAGAGCTGGAGCTGAGCGAGAGAGAGAGAGATGGAGGGCGGTCATATGATGGCTAATGAAAGAGAAGGCGCCATCATCACTCTCACTTTTTTACCTCTCATTACCTACCTCCCATCATCTCTAGCTTCTAAATCTTGGATGTGGATGAGGGAGGAGATAGGATGAGAGGGAAAACGCGACAAGGTGAGCCCACCCACTCTCTCCTTCACCCACCTTTTTAATCTCCTTTTCTCTCGCTTGCAGGTGATGATGAGTGAAGAAGCGAGCGAAGAGTCAGGGCAAGAAAGGAAGAGACAGGGAAAGAGATGTTACTATCATAAAAATGATTCCATTTTCTAAGAGTACAAATCAGAGACGCTTTATCATTTGAGATGCTTTCCATCTCTTGCATTCGCTTTCTCCATTCTATTTCCCTCTCATGTCACTCCCAAAGCTATTAAAAGAGAACGGGAATGACAGGTAAAGATGATTGGAATTGGACAATAAGGACATTCCAGCTTGTCTAGCTTTCATTCACTTCCCTTCTCTTGACCTCCCTCGTTTCCAAAAGAAACTTATAACTGGGCAAGAGGTTGGGCAAGAGAAGCTGAAAAGAGGTGAAGAAAGAGGAGTTCATTTGTAACTGCTGGAAAGAATTTCTTTTCTCCTTTCCATTCTCACCGTTGAAGCGGCTAGGAAAGAGATAGGAAAGAGAATTAGAATGAAGAACCCAGATGACTAAGGAAACAAGATGGTTGGATGGCCATCCATCTCCTTGCCCACTCTCTCATCTCTTTCCCCGCCCCCACCTCCATCTCAGCTTCAAGGAAGCTGTAGGTGGTGAGGAATAGAAATGAAGGGGAGAAAGGGTGGTGGTAAGGTGGTAAGATAGAGGCTTGAATCATGAGGCCAGACAGCCATCCTCCCCTCTCACCATTTTTTCTTGGCATATCTTCACTTTCCAAGAATATCTTTTCCCATTCTCATCCATCTCCCAGCCAATGAAAATGAGGTGAGGGGATGGGGCCGTGAGATGGCCAATCAATGAGTTTTTTCCTCTCTCTCGCCCTTCTCTCCCTCTCTACCTCCCATCACCCAACCTCTGCTTCCGAGAAAAAGAGTTGGGGTGATAAAGGGAAACAAGAAGGGGGGAGAAATACTTCCTTGAGATCTTATTGGTAGGCATTTCCTGTCTACAGACTCTCTAGACCCAATTATGAATTGATTATTGTAATCTACAGTACCAAGTCTTGGTCATTTCTGTATCACCTATTAATTAATCACGTGTCTCTACTTTGCTCCAGTGATAAGACTTCTGCAGTCCATGACATCAATAATCGCAAGGCAAGAGAAACACCAAGAGCTGAGAAAGACAAGTAAATATGAGATACGCTAAAATAGATTATAAAAATTGTTGAATTGGAATTAGTTTCTGGATTGACCTGACCGTGCAAATCTGCGACGCTGCTATCCCTTTTTTCGCGCAGATCAAGTGGCAAGTGCTGAAAAAGGAGCCGGTTCACATTATACGCATTGTTCCCCTGCCCCCCCCCCCCCCCCCCGCTTTTTGAGGCTGCCGGATCGATCCGGCGAAGGCGAATTCCGTCCGGTTCCGTCCAGGCCCTGGCGGCCTTCGGCGAGCTGGATCGAGACGGGCGGCTCGGAAAACTCGTCGGAGTCGGAGTCGGAGATCGCAGAGGCCCAATTCGATTCGGGTAGGACAGGTCTAGGGGTTGATCCTCCATTCTTTTCAACCATGGTTCTTTCCAACAACTTGCCGTTTTGCCTGGGTTTCTGGAGGTTTTCTAGAAAGAAGGATCCCTGGAAAGAATGGGGCAGGTTCCCCTAGAACAGGGGGGAGGATTTCTGAGTCAATGGATGGGTATGGCTCAAAATTAACCAGCTGAAAGCGCCTACACCACCACTCCAAGGTTTTGATTGCTACCAGCTGAAAGCACCTAACCACCACTCCAAAGCCCCACTTTACTCAAAATTTAGACCGTCGCCCCATGCCCAAGCAGGGCTCCTTAAAAGATACATTTTGCAACTATTTGACACATGTGGCTTTTTCAACACCAAAATAAAGGGAAACCAGCATTTACAAGGCAATGTTTAGGTGTATAATGTAAGGATCCCTGTACATGGGTGCGGAATGCCGCCGTTTTGGATCCAACCCAAGGTGTGTTGACCATGCTAGTACCGATCGTTTTTGACTGTGACTCAGTTGCAAACCTTAGTTGGTGGTTTGGATTGCTGGTTGGGATTCGAGCACCTTCCTGCAGCCGGTGAAAACCGAAACAAAAACCCGGAACAGCTCCAAACCACCCAATTAGAGGGAATCGGATAATAGGCGGTTTCCCCAAGAGCCGTATTTCCCATCAAAGAGTTTGTATTTCAGCAGATAGGTTTTTGTTTTTTTTGTGAGTTTTCCACCTAAAGCCTTCATTTCTCGTTCCCCGCCTATTCGAACGGATCGCAAGGTGTGGTGCGTGACGGATGGGCCCTGTGCCTTGAGACGCAAACCAAATGGTTGAACATCAATTCCCCACCATGATGCGATGTCCACCAGAGGGTCCCTCATGAAATTTTATATAGCTTCCCTCATGAACCGTTGCGGGATTCCCGAAAAAAATGACATCATATCATAATTGTTTAAAGGGGTCATTAAATGTCTCATTCCCTGCCTTTCGAACCAGCAAGTTAGACCTGACTCAGGCAACCCTTAGTTAGTGCTTTGGATTTGGGATTTGAAAACACACCTTCTTGAGAAAACACTTAGCCACCACTCCAAAGCCCCCTTTACTCAAAAACTCGCCCATTTGCCATTTTACTACCAGGTTTTAATTACATGGTTCCGGGTCAACCATTTAAATACCGGGTTTTGATTGTGACTCACTTCTTTGTAGACCATTTTACTACCAGGTTTTGATTACTACCAGCTGAAAGCACCTAACCACCACTCCAAGGCTTTGATTACTACCAGCTGAAAGCACCTAACCACCACTCCAAGGTTTTGATTGCTACCAGCTGAAAACACCTAACCACCACTCCAAGGTTTGGATTACTACCAGCTGAAAACACCTAACCACCACTCCAAAGCCCCACTTTACTCAAAATTTAGACCGTCGCCCCATGCCCAAGCAGGGCTCCTTAAAGGATACATTTTGCAACTATTTGACACATGTGGCTTTTGCAACACCAAAATAAAGGGAAACCAGCATTTACAAGGCAATGCTCAGGTGAGGGGTGTTTTTTTTGTTTTGCCGCAAGCTAATTTAGTAGAGCGAGGGACATTATTATTGAAAATGTGCACCGCGCCATGCGCGGAAGCATGCGGAAGGCTTCGCGGAAGGGATTCTTTCGCGGAAGGTTTGTGGAAGCTTTGTGGCTGATATGAAATGAATTGTTTCAGTTTGCGTGCGCGGAAAAGCACGGAGAAAGGATTACAGTAGAAGCAGCAAGGTGTTGCTGCGTACAAGAAACGTAACGCTGACTAGAAGAGTAGTTGCCAACAGCAAGCCAAGAAGACGAAAACAGCTGGCGGATTTCGCGGAAGGTTTGCGGAAGTTTCGCGGAAGCTCCGCGGAAGGATGGCCCCGTGTTCGCAGGCAAGTGCCCACGTAGCACAGGTAGCTCAATGGGGCCCAAGCCTACACAGGCTGCGGCGAAACGCTACTTTTCTTCCTTACTTAAAATGACTTTCTCTTCCTGCGCCAATACTCGCGGAAGCAAATCTTGTAAAACATGCGCCGCGGAAGGTTTGCGGAAGCAAACAATGGAGCACATGCGCCGCGGAAGCTCGCGGAAGGGACCTCTTGGCCCGCGGCACCGCGGAAGCTTGAGTACTGTCCAATCAAGTTTGTAGGGAATAAAAACCAACGCTCAGTTGTACAATGTAAGGATCTTTGAGACACCGCAAAAACCACAAATATGAGTTTGTCTCAAAATGGGATTTGGGACCCCCACAGTGGCTTCGGTTTTGCCGTGAGAAAACTCCAAAGATCCCATGCCCGAGGAATATCCCTGCCAAAAGCCACCAAACCAGCACCAAACCACCAAACCAATACCGGGTTTTGATTGTGGCTCGCTTTTCTCCAAAATTTCGACCGTTGCATCCCCATGCCCCCATGCCTCTTCGAGGAATGGGCAGATCGACCGGGACGAGCTCTTCGGCCTCTGCTTGCAGCTGCACCGCAAGCTGGGCCTCAAGCTGCCCGACGACATCGAGCTGGGGGTGCAGCTCGCGCACCTCGCTCCACCGGGTCCTGGGGGTGGCACTTTTTTTGTTTGTTTTTTCTCATACTAATATATATATATATATATATGTTTTTTTTTTTGTCGGGCTGGTTGGTGTCTTTGGGACTTTTGGTTTCCCTCCAGGGCTATGGCGACCCAGCTCGGGTTCACAGGCTTTTTCGTCGGGGCCTTTTTTCGTCGGGACCTTTTCTCGGGTCATGGTGTCTTTGGGGCCGTTTGTTTTTTTGTTCTCCGGGGTTGGCATGGTGTCTTTAAAGCCCCCCCCTTCGAAAAATTCGGAGAAGACAGGGGTTCAAATCCAACCCCCATCCAAACCACGAAGAGTCACCTGCCACAGGACCAACAATTTGGGGGTCCCCCAACCCCGGATCCCAGGATTGGAAGTCAGCCAACATCTTGGACAAATCTCATCGGGAGGGCGGAAAGCCAAACGAAAGCCCAGAAGGAGATCGCATTTTTTTTTTTGATGGTTTTCGGTTCTTCCTTTGGATTTTGCAGCCTCCTTCAGTTAGGCCTCTCGATTTCTTAGGTGCCCACGCCCAGGAACACCATCTATTTGCTTCATCATGGATGTTTTTTGGGGGCCGGACTTTTGGGTTTGCCCCCACACGCCGGGGTTTGAAAGCGGGTTCAGCACCCCCCCCCCCGGCAACCCGCTGTTTTTTTTTCTCCGCGCGCATGGATCGCGCGATGGCGCTCGCGCGCCAGCGAGCGAGGCGGTACGACGAGGACCTCAGCGGCGGCCTGGACCGACACGAGCCCGGGGCCCCGAAGCCCCGAAGACGGAGACTTCGCGGGCGGGGTCTCAACGGGAGACGAGAGGCCGTGTGTCCGGTTCTCCAGGAGTTCAGCCAGGTGACAAGGGTGTTCTTTTGGGTTGCTTTCGTTCAGAAACGATGGCGATCTTTCTGACAGAAACTTCTTTTCAACCATCGCTCTTTCCAAAAGCCGGATCCGTTTTCCCTGGCTTTCCAGGGGTTTTCTAGAAAGATTCGGACGGTTCAGAATGGAAATGGAAGGTACCCCTAGAGGCTTAGGGAATCTATCACTAACGTGGAGAAAACAAAAAGGCACCACCGAACGGGGCCGTGGTGCAGTACGTCCAAAACCCTTCCTTTGTGGTTCCTGAGTCAAGTGCCTTGCCGAAAAGAAAGGCCCGCAGAAAATATACCTAAGTTGGAGGATGACAATGCTGAAGGGTAAAGAAATGTAGTGGGGGAAAAAACCGAATGGGGCCGTGGTACACAGGGTTTGACCCAATTTTTGGGTTTAAAACAGCCCACCCCTGCACCCCACCCCCTAAGGTGGATGGTTGTGAAACCGTTCAGAAGCCCCGGAGTTTTTCGATTCCCATGTAAACTCACCAAGAGACGTTCTGGTTTCAACCATGGTTTCATTTCCTGGTGCGAAATGGAAATTTCGCAACGATCCACAGTATTTCAATGAGTTGGGCCCTTCAACATAGAAATCGCTTGGCTGCGGCCTAGGTTCCTGCAGCTCTACAAGCAGCTGCTGCAGGCCGGATATCGGGTGGAGAGAACGGGATGTGGACATCAAAAACGGGCCCAGAGATGGCCCGTTTTCTGTTAAGGAAGCGGTGAATTTGTTTGCCCTCGGCTCTCAGCCATACGGGTCGAGAAGGGTTTAAGACTCCTTGAGTTTCAATCTGGCTGTAGCTCAAAAAACCGGAATTCCAAAATGGGTTGCCCTGGTAAGTGGAAACATGGACCAAAACCTGCGGTTTGGCCCTTATGGTTAATTTTGAGCCACACCCAGGTGTCTATGAGATGTTCCCACGAACACGGAAAAACGCTAAAAAAGCAGGGAATGACTGGACAGCTACCGAGCCTCTGGTCCTCTAACATGGAAGCTGCCACAAGAATCCCTTTTGAAGGACAATGGTCTTCCAGGACCCCCCCTGTGAGTTCCGTGTTTGTGGATGGGAGGAGAAGTAAATTTGGTTTTGAAGCGCCACGCCAGCAACGGCTGATGGTTTCGGTCCATTTTTGAACCAATTTCATGGCCATTTTGGAGCCTCTGCGTGCTGATTTCCCATAATTCAGCCACAACTAAGAATGAGTCAACCCAGAAACTCGGGTTTCATAGCAGGGCTCCATATGTTTGCCTATTTTGTAGTGAGCTCACCTGGGGGTAGAACGAGCTCACCATGACAATTAAAGGTCCTTTACTTGGGGATGCCTTGGTTCAGCTGTTGGAAGTATGGTAGCATTTGGAATTACAGTAACATTTGCAGACATAGGTGTGCTTTTTGGTTGTTTTGGTAGAAAAATAGATGGCCCTGGTTTACCGGGTGCTTTAATCATCTACCAGGGCCATCTATTTCCCCTAAAAGGACACCTGTGGTTGCAGATATATTGGACGTATACATTTATATAGCCCTTGACCCAAGCCCATCTAAGTCTTTACGCGTCGGAGGAGAGCTTAGCCAGAGCCGCGCTGCGCCTCAACGTGGGCGATGAGGTTATTGTGCCCTACCTAGGCGAGGGGGAGGGGGGGGAGTCCCATTCGCCCCAAGAGGCGAAGCCAAATTTCGGGGCAAGCAGATGGTTTCCTAGACTTTTGGACCGGAGGTTACATGGCGGGCTCTGGGAAACCCCCATCCGAATCTAGACAGGTTTTTTGGATGTTTGTAGTTTGTGAAAGGTGGTGGGGTTTCCAGTTCAGCCACAAGTTCAGCTTTTTCCAGTGTCAGCAAGGGAGTTCCCGCGATTTTGCTTATCACTCTAAACATTGAGTGACCATAAAGTCATCCCACTTTGGTATCACAGAAAGGTGTTTTCCTTTTCCCCTATTGTTTGTGTTTTTCCAATTCTTCTCCTGATGCGACTACTGGGCGGCTGGCACGAACACGTCAGCAGTGGCCGACATTTCTTCAGCGGAGACCCCGCATGTTGCGAATGAATTGTTTGGGGATTCCCTTAAAAGCAGGGTTGTGGGATCAAGGGGGTTATCCCCACTTCTGTGATGCAAGGGAATCTTCCCCTTTATATGGGGGGTTCGTCTTTGGGCAGGATTTGTTGTATCACAGATTCGTGGATTCCATTTCAACCACAGCCCTGCTTAAAAGGCCACCGCGATGGCTAGGGGTCCTTCCATTTCTCAAGATAGACTGAGGGTGTGGGAATGAACCTAGGCATTCCCAAGGAAAAAATCTTCGTAGGACTCCTGAGAACCAGCCAGCTTTTTCATACTGTGGATGGACAAAAATGCAGACATCGCACCACGAGATGAAACCATGGTTGAAACCACTTTTTTGGTTGGTATTTACAGGGGAATCGTATCATCTCCAGGGCTTCTTAGGTGCAGGATTTCGTCCATCCACAGTAGGTTCCAAGCCTGAAAACCCAATGGCTGTCGGACCAACAAGTCTTGGCGTGGCGTGCGACGGATGGGCCCTGCGCCTTGAGACCCTCATCTTCGGTTGAATCGACCCTCACCGGGATACACGCACCCTTCAGGCGGCAAAACCCACGGCTCTGTGTTTTTTCTGTTCAAACTGCCATAATCATGGACGATCTGTAGTTTATGCCTCCCATGAGTCTGGGGAAAAAAAAAACGGAAGCACACCCCTCGCGCCAATCGACCAGTTCCTTGACCACCACGCTTGATGCGGGCAAAGAAGAGGACGTGACAATTCCACAGCCCAAACTGAAGGGCAACACCATGTCAATGTACGTCAGAGTGGACACACACATTGACCACTGAGAGTCAAAATTGGGAGGTCCCGAGGAACCCACGTCCGGTTCCAGAAAGTTTTTCGTGGTTTTTAGTTGGTTTAGCGGTTGGGTTTCCCCTCAACCCACTAAAATTTAACTTGTTGCAGGGGATTTGAGGACAGCCCAGAGTGGGTACACCAATGGAACACCAAGTAAATGGCGGTGTGTAAGCAATGCTTAAGCGTGGGCACGCCTTTTGTACACGCTATGCGTATATCGGTATCCTACATCAGGCGCGAACCTGAATAGCAGCAGCACAAAACAAGAAACGCCCCCCACCCTACCCCAGACCTGAAAAATGATCCTGATCCTGACCGTACTGTGGATGGCTGCGAAATCCATTTTGAACCACCGTTTGGGAATGGTGACTACCCTGCAAATATCAACCAACAACGGTTTCCCATGGTTTCAACAACCAACAAACACGGTATGCGTCGCGAGGGGAGGAGAGCGGGCGGCGCTATCATGCGCTGGTTACCAGCGTGACCGAGGCGAAATGGGGAATTGGCGAAATGGGTAGGGAGCCATGTTATAAGGCCGAGCTGCCATTCTTTTTTGTGTTTTAAGAGGGACCATCTTCTTCTTCGGGGTTGTTGCAAAGGGACACCACCGCGACCAACGTGTTCTTTGGTTTTTCACGGAAGAAACAAGAAAGCCATGACTCCGAACCTGAAGACCATGGCACTTAAGGGGACCGAATTTCTGCCTAGGGTCTGAGCCGACTCATCTAGTGGAGCATCCCGATTCCGTGAGGTGAAAGGGAAACACTCAAAGGTGAACTCCGAACTCCATCTTACGCAAAGCACATGTGAGCCACAATCAAAACCCGGGTAGATGAAGCTTAGTAAGGGGCAGTCCCAGCCGGAAATAGTTGCGGCCGCCTTTCTAATTCTTTACATGGTGTTGGGTTCACCATTTTTGTACCAGGTTTTGATTGTGACTCACATGTGTCTTGTTTTAGGAATCGGTCCCCCAAAATGAGTGGGGTTCCTTTTGGCTTCCATTCAAAACCACTACACAAAGGACACCTCCAAAAAAGAGAGGCCCAAAAAACAACGCATAAAAGTCTGGTTACCATTTTTTCCAGAAGCAATTGGAGCCTGCCGAGGTGTGGCAAGCATAAGCGATTGGATGAGCCTTGAGCAGAGATGCTAGCTGTGTTCCGACGCCATGTATGGTTGGACTGCCATCTCCAGCACCTATT